GTACTTCATTGCTTAGTTAATTTTAAGTTAATTTTAAGCCTGCCCTTAATGCTATGCATTCAAGTGGCTTTGGCATGCTGCATTTAACTGTATTCTTTTGTACTTCACTGTATCATGTTCAGATCAATAAATAAATAAATTAATTAAGGGAACTGAAATTCACTCGTCAGTATTATTATTTTTGTCATTAATTTAGGGAACTGGAGCACAGATCCAAATACCTAGATAAAGAGCCCCTTACCAGCATCAGGGAACCTTGATGCTGGTGAGGGGCTCTTGATCTAGGGAATTGGATCTGTGCTGTAGTTCCTAAATTAACGATAATAATAATTATTATAATAATAATAATAATAATAATAATGAGGAGCTTCAGAATGCCGCCACTATGTTTACCTTGACTTGGAAACATTTCTTTCATGTTTTGCTTGCATTTTGTGCCGTTACTTTGCCAAATTTCTTTTTTCTAACCATGGGTCCTAAGAAAGTAAGTGTAAAGGACAATTCTGAGAAGAAAAAGAGGATGATGTCCGTGGAATTAAAGCGTGAAATCTCTGACAAACACTCTGTTTTCAGAAAGGGAAGAATGGGAAGATAGGGTCAGTGCGGTAGCAGGAGGCTCCACCATACCTTCCATATTATGGCCTATTTTGTTCATTTTAGAGTATATATCATGTTTCTGTGTTACTCATATTGTTTATTACGTCATATTAGATCAGTAGTGATAGATAAATAAGCCGTAGAGTTGATTGCTTTATATTTAATTACAGTGGATCCCCGGTTTACGATATTATTTCATTCCAGAAGTATGTTCAGGTGCCATTACTGAACGAATTTGTTCCCATAAGGAATATTGTGAATTAGATTAGTCCATTTCAGACCCCCAAACATACACGTACAAACGCACTTACATAAATACACTTACATAATTGGTTGCATTGGGAGCTGATCATAAAGCAGGGTTCCACTATATTTTGTCCTGCCTCCTGAGAGTAGGATTTCCGCTGGAACTGATTATTGGCATTTCAGTTAATTTAAATGAGGAAAATTGATTTGATATTTGAGCAAATTGAATTACGAGCTAGGCCACGGGATGGATTAAACTCGGAAGTTGAGGTTCCACTGTTCAGGCGGACACTGCTTATATAGCAGGCTAGTTCCAGGCACCTGTATGACCCTGCTTATACAGCAGGTTAGGTTCCAGACTACTGTATAGCTCTTTCTATGCAACAAGTTAGGTTCCAGGCTACTGTATGGCCCTGCTCATAAAGCAGGTTATTTTCCGATCTGCTGTAAAGCGAAAATCATTGTACAATGCATATAAGAGCCTGATAACATGTTTACACTATCATATACGTATTAAACATTCTTTATTTCAGTATGATACAGTGTTTGTACATAGATGGGTGACATTTAGGTGTGCGCACAGAAAGCCTTTTAGTATGCAGAGCATTTCGGGCAAACTTAAGCCGATCTTAATTAAAACTAATAAGGCACATATATATGGTCACTAAATGGTTGTAACAATAAATTTAGGAATTACAATGAATACATTTATTGAGTTTAATTGTTTTAAGGAGTACAAGCTGATTTTATGTTTACAGGTTATGAGGATTCTAGCATATCAACCCTTTGACTGTCAGTGTCATATACAGTGGACCCCTGCCTTACAATATTAATCCATTCCTGAGAGCTCATTGTAAGCCGAAATTATCGTTAGCCAAATTAATTTTCCCCATAAGAAATAATGGAAATCAAATTAATCCATTCCTGACATCCCAAAGTATGAAAAAAAAAAATTTTACCCCATGAAATATTAATTTTAATACACACAAACTGAAGAAGACATGCACAATTACAACTCTACTTAAAATAGAATACATGACACTTACCTTTATTGAAGATCTGGTGATGATTGATGAGATGGGAGGAGGGGAGAGTGTGGAAGTTATTGTTTAGAAGGGGAATCCCCTTCCATTAGCCAATAACTTGAGGTAGCAAGTCCTTTTCCGGGGATACTTCCCTTCTTCTTTTAATGCCACTAGGACCAGCTTGAGAGTCACTGGGCCTGTGTCGCACAACAAATCTGTCCATAGAGCTCTGTACCTCCCGTTCCTTTAAGACTTTCCTAAAAAAAAATTTTTACCCCAAGAAATATTAATTTTAATACACACAAACTGAAGAAGACATGCACAATTACTACTCTACTAAGAATAGAATACATGACACTTACCTTTATTGAAGATCTGGTGATGATTGATGGGATGGGAGGAGGGGAGAGTGTGGAAGTTATTGTTTAGAAGGGGAATCCCCTACCATTTGCCAATGACTTGAGGTAGCAAGTCCTTTTCCGGGGATACTTCCCTTCTTCTTTTAATGCCACTAGGACCAGCTTGAGAGTCACTGGACCTCTGTCGCACAACAAATCTGTCCATAGAGCTCTATACCTCCCGTTCCTTTAAGACTTTCCTAAAATGGGCCATAACATTGCCATTGTACAGGTTGCCAACACGGCTTGCAGTAGCTGTGTCAGAGTGATTTACATCCATAAAGGTTTGCAGTTCAACCCACTTGGCACACATTTCTTTAATCTCTTTTTTCAATCCCATACTAATTCTCACCTTTTTACCACTGGGATGGCACTAGAAGCTTTCTTGGGGTTCATGGTGACTTATTTTGCAGTTACAAGCGCTAAAAACACTGGGATAATGTGAAATGTACCGAATGTATGTGTAGATGCGACCGCACTGGCTGGTTTGTAAACACTGGCGCTGAGGCCACACGTGGGACGCGTCCTGGACGAATCATGTCAGGCGAGTTTTTTATTGTGAAGCAAGGCAAAATTTTTACGTTAAACTGCTTCATATGGCGGATTTAGCATAAGACAATGTGTTCGTAAGGTGGGGGTCCACTGTATATACATCTTATGAGCATGTTTTTGGTGTATTAATACGCCAAAATTCTAGCGGCTTCAGATCAAGCAGGAGAAAGCTGGTAGACCAGCATGTGAGAGAATGGGTCAGTGTGCACAGTATAAAAAAAAGTCCTGCAGCACGCAGTGCATAATGAGGGAAAAAAACTGACCGTGTTTTTGGATTAAAATACCAACTTTGAGGTGTATTTTCATATAGTATTTATGGGTGTATTCTCATTTTCTTGGTCTCATTTGATAGAATTGAAGGCATATTGCAGAAGTAGAGATGATTTTGATTGGTTTCACAATGAAAAGTACCTTGAAATCGAGCTCAAAGTAGCAGAAATGTTTGATTTTTGCCAATATTCAAGAGTAAACAAATGACATCACCATCCAATAAGTGTCCAACTAGCCATTCTAATATGCAGTCACAAATGGGTTGGCATTATTTATACAATTATTACAATAATGCAGTAGTCTGCATGACAATAAATCTTCTATTTTTTGTGTGAATAAAAATTCAAAACACAAGGCCAAAATAATATAAGAGGGGCATGGAGACATGAGTAATGAACATAGAAAATGTTATTTTAGTGCCAGGAATGTCTACATTGTTCATTCTGGACACTACTTTGAAATTGGCATCTTTTTTAATTTGTGTGAAATTGGCCAAATTGCCAATTTCTGACCATTTTGTTGGGTAGTTAAAATCAATAAATGGGCAGTTTCTTGTGCTCAATCGAGAGAATAAGTGGAGTTCTAAAGAAATAGCTATGAGTTTAGTTGACTGGAAAAGTGGAAATGGCTGAAAATAAGGCTCAAAGTGGGCAAAATCGCCAATACGTATATATCACCAAGATTGCTTACTTTGCTAGAGCGTAATTCTGTAAGTTCTCGATCAAATTTCATACTTTTGGTGTCATTACCATCAGGAAAAGATTCTCTATCATTTCACAAGAAAATAATAATTTTTTTTCGTATACAGTGGACCCTCAGCTAACGCCATTAATCCGTTCCAGAGAGCTAGCCTTTAACTGATTTAGCCTTTAGCCGAATTAATTTTCCCCATAAGATATAATGGAAATCCAGTTAATCCGTTCCAGACACCCAAAAGTATTAGCCCTTTGACTGTTGCAGGCCCCTTTCTGAAACTGTCATTCTATGCCGATAAATTTTTGGAAAAAAAAAAAAATTCTTAAGAAATAATAGAGAATCTTTCCCCGATGGTAATGACACCAAAAGTACGAAATTTGTTCGAAAACTCATGGAATTACGCTCCTGCAAAGTTAGCGGTCTCGGCGACATATACGCATCGGCGATTTCGCCGACTTTGAGCCCTGTTTTTGGCCAATTTCCTTATTCCAGTTGACCAAACTCATAGCTATTTCTTTAGAACTACATTTTTTCTATCAGTTAGGTACAAGAAACCACCCATTTACCGATTTGAACTACCCAATAAAGTGGTCAGAAATTGGCAATTTGGCCAATTTTACACAAATTAAAAAAGATGCCAATTTCAAAATAGGGTTCAGAATAAACAATGTAGACATTCTTGGCAATAAAATAACATATCCTCTGTTCATTAGTCATGTCTCTAGGCCCCTCTTATATTACTATTGCTTTCTATTTTGATTTTTTATTCATACAAAAAAAATAGAAAATTTACTGTTATGCAGACTACTGCATTATTGTAAAAATGGTATAAATAATATCAGTGCACTAGTGAAAGAATATTAGACTCCCCAGTTGACGTATATTGGATGTGTGGTGTGATTTGCTTACTCCTGAACATTGGTAAAAATCGAGCATTTCTGCTACTTTGAGCTCAATTTCAGGGTCGTTTTCATCGTGAAAGTAATCAAAATCATCTCTATTTCTGTAATATGTTTTCCATTTTATCACCTGAGATCATGAAAACGAGAATACAATGATAAATACTATAGGAAAATACACCTCAAAGTTGGTGTTTTAATTAAAAAAAATGGTCAGTTTTTTTTTTTCTCATTACGCACTGCGTGCTGCAGGATTTTTTTTTATGTGGTGCACATTGACCACACAAACCCATTCTCTTACATGTGGGCCTACCAGCTTTCTCCTGCTTGATTTGAAGCCACTAGAATTTATGCGTATAAATACGTCAGAAACAGTGGTGCATAAGACGTATATATACGACTGAAACAGTCAAAGGGTTAAACAAAATAATATTTTTACATGAAATATACATTTCCCTACACAGAAAACAATGATACATGCACAATAAACAATACTGAAATGACGCTTACCTTTATTGTGGACTTGATGAGTGATGAGGCGGAGGAGGGGAGAAGATGAAGGTGTTCTATTGTTTGGAAAGGGAATCCCTTTCCATAAAGGCTTCAGGTACCAAGTCCTTTTCTGGGGTTACTTCCCTTCTTTGTTTTTTAATGCCACTGTGACCAGCTTGAGAGTCACTGGACCACCCTTTACCACCATCACAACCACTACCACCCTCTATCACCATCACATCCACTACCACCCTCTACCACCATCACTACCACTCTCTACCACCATCACTACCACCCTCTACCACCATCACTACCACCCTCTACCACCATCACAACCACTAGCACCATCACTACCACTCTCTACTACCATCACAACCACTCTCTGCTACCATCACAACCACTACCACCGTCACAACCGCTACCACCCTCTACCACCATCACAACTACCACGTTCTACCACCATCACTACCACCCTCTACCACCATCACTACCACCCTCTACTACCATCACAACCACTACCAGCCACTACTACCTTCACAACCACAACCACCCTCTACCACCATCACTACCACCCTCTACCACCACCACAACTACTACCACCCTCTACTACCATCACTACCACCCTCTACCACCACCATTTTCGTATTTTCTACAGACTTTTTCTTGAATTCTATCGTGTTTCTCACATCCTTCACGAAAGAGCTAGCACAAGAAGCTTTCTTTGGGCCCATGGTGGCTTATTTAGCAGTTACAAGCACTAAAAATTAGAATAATACAAAATATATCGCATGTACCGTGGCATCATCCTCAATGACTTGTAAACAATGGCACATTCGCTGTACACGCAGTTATGGAATGGCCGGGCCCACTCAGGCTGCACGGACACGTTCGGGACGAAAGCCCTTAACCGAGTTATTTGGCGTTAGCTGAGCCAATATTTTTTTGCGAAAGCGAGCTGTTATCCGATTTTGGCGCTAACCGATGATGCCTTTACCCAAGGGTCCACTGTATTTTGCAACACAGAGACACTTCGGGGGTCTCGACAGTCAAAAGGATGAACTCCCTGCATGTCTGCTACACTCCCTGCATGTCCCAAAGTGTTCAAGAAAGTCAATGTCCCTTCTCATCACTCATCAACATGTCCACAATGAAGGTAAGTGTCATTTTAGTATTGTTTTTTGTGCATGTATTATTGTTTTCTGTGTAGGGAAATGTATACTTCATGTAAAAAAAAATTTTTTGTTTAATACTTTTGGGTGTCAGGAACGGATTAATTGGATTTCCATTATTTATTATGGGAAAATTAACTCGGAACGGATTATAGGCATTACCCGAGGGTCCACTGCATTCAAGTGTATGGCCTCTTATACCGTAATGGTCAAGTTTGTGCAGTAGAATGCTGTGGTCTACTGTGTCAAAAGCTTTTCTTAGGTCAAAAAGTCCTAATGGATATTCCTTATTTTCCAGTGTTGTGTAAAACATATCTAGCATTTTTACAATTGCATGGTTTGTGCTTTTGTTTTTCCTGGAGCCAAATTGGCAAGGGTTGAGTATAAAGTGGACCCTCGCCTAACGATATTAATCCGTTCCTGAGAGCTCAACGTTATGCGAAATTATCGTTAGGCGAAATTAACCCTTTGACTGTCGCGGCCGTATATATATGTCTTACGAGGTACCGTGTTTGACGTATATATACTCATAAATTCTAGCGGCTTCAAATCAAGCAGGAGAAAGCTGGTAGGCCCACATGTGAGAGAATGGGTCTGTGTGGTCAGTGTGCACCATATAAAAAAAATCCTGGAGCATGCAGTGCATAATGAGAAAAAAAAAAAACTCCAACCGTTTTTTTTTAATTAAAATGCCGACTTTGTGGTCAATTTTTGTATAGTATTTATGGTTGTATTCTCGTTTTCTTGGTCTCATTTGATAGAATGGAAAACATATTATAGAAATAGAAGTGATTTTGATTGATTTTACTATAAAAAGAATCTAGAAATGGAGCTCAAACTAGGGGAAATGTTTGATTTTTGCCAATGTTCAAAAGTAAACAAATGATGCCATTGTCCAATAAATGTCCAACTAGCCATTCTAATATGCAGTCATGAATGGGTTGATGTTATTTATACAATTATTACAGTATTGCAGTAGTCTGCATAATAGTAAGTCTTCTATTTTTTGTGTGAATAAAAATTCAAAATAGAAAGCAAGAGTAATATCAGAGGGGCCTGGAGACATGACTGATGAGCAAAGAAAATGTTATTTTAGGGCCAGGAATGTCTGCATTGTTCATTCTGCACCTTATTTTGAAATTGTCATATTTTTTAGTTTTCGTGAAATTGGCCAAATTGCAAATTTCTGACCACATTTCATGTATTAGGCAGTTGAAATCGGTAAATGGGCAGTTTTTTGTACTCAATCGATAGAAAAAATGGAGTTCTAAAGAAATAGCTATGAGTTTGGTCGACTGGAACAATGGAATTAGCCGAAAATAGGGCTCAAACTGGGCGAAATCGCCGATTTGTAAACAGCGCCGAGGTCGCTAACTTTGCGAGAGCATAATTCTGTCAGTTTTCCATCAAATTTTGTTTCTTTTGGTGTCATTACAATCGGGAAAAGATTCTCTATCATTTCATAAGAAAAAATTTTTTTTTTTTTTTAAAGTTTTACGAGACCAGGAGACACCTCAGGATTGGGGGTTGCGACAGTCAAAGGGTTAATTTTCCCCATAAGAAATAATGAAAATCAAATTAATCCGTTCCTGTCACCCCAAAGTATGAAAAAAAAATTTTACCACATGAAATATTAATTTTAATACACACAAACTGAAGAAGACATGCACAGTTACATGACACTTACCTTTATTGAAGATCTGGTAATGATTGATGGGATGGGAGGAGGGGAGAGTGTGGATGGTCTTAGTGTTTAGAAGGGGAATCCCCTTCTATTAGGACTTGAGGTAGCAAGTCCTTTTCCAGGGTTACTTCCCTTCTTCTTTTAACCCTTTGAGGGTTTTGGTCGTACTAGTACGTCTTACGCATAGGGGTTTTTGACATACTAGTACGCATAAATTCTAGCGGCCTCAAATCTCGCGCGAAAAGGCTGGTAGGCATAGGTGAGAGAGAATGGGTCTGCGTGGTCGGTGTGCGCGGTAGAAAAAGAATCTGGGACCCAGTGGTGCATTGTGGGAATGCCCTCTTAGTAAACAATGTCCACCATGCCTCGCAGTAAGAAGGTCCTCACTCCTCGGCGAATTGGGACACTTTTGTTCCCCAGTGACAGTTCTAATAGTGATGGAAGTGCCAGTGAAGATGAGTTTCGTGGTTTTAGTTAGGTTTTGACCGAAACTAATGACCATAATATCGGTAATAGTGAGGAAAACCCAGATGACCCTCAGCCTTCCACCTCTGGTGCTGGGCCATCTTGTTCATGTTCAGTTGTTCCAGAACCCAAGAGGAAACTTCTATTTTCCCAAATCCCAGACTCAGATGAGAGCATGCGTGATGATAGTGATAGTGAATATGAACTACAAGCTCTTCAAACTAGTTCCAGTAGTGATAGTGAAGTGCAATATTCCCCAGTGAAGCGTCAGTATATACGACGATATATGCACTCTGGTAGTGTGCCATATGTTATACCAAGGGGAAGGAGTGTATCTCGGAGTACATCCCGTGGCTGTACAACAGGAACAGACAGTGAAAATGACGAAGATACTGTTGCAATTGGGATGGAAAATGTGCGTGGTGGTAGTGGTGCCAGCGGTGAGGCACCAGCAGTGGGCCATGCTGCCACCCATGCTGCCACCCATGCCGCTGCCTCAGCTGATCTAGAACAAAGGCCACCATCCCCCACTCACCCACCACACCAGCCTCCACAACCACAACCTCCACAACCACAACCTCGACAACCACAACCTCCACAACCACAACCACCTGTCATTGTCCAGTACCCACCAGCAGACCACACCTGGGATTGGCAGGAAGCTGTCAATTTTGTTCCAAATCCCCACCAGTTTGATGGCAGCCAAAGTGGAATACGGCCATCTTGTGCACTTGGGAACAATGCCACTGAACTGGAATGTTTCGAGTTATTCTTTGACGAACCACTGATGAAAAGTATTGTCATGGAAAGCAACACATACTACGAGTACACCATGGCAAACACATTACTTTCACCAAAATCACGTCTACACCAGTGGAAGGAGGCAACTGTGGCTGAGATGTATCTTTTCTTTGCCACAATAATGCTTATGCCACATGTGTATAAGCACAAAGTGAAATCATACTGGTCAACAGACCCCCTGATTGCAACACCAGGTTTCAGTGATATAATGCCAGTGAATCGATTTGTGCTAATGTTATGTATGCTTCACTTCTCAGATAAAACCAGGCCTGACAGAACTGACAGGTTATATAAGATTAGGAATGTGTTTGTGTATCTGAAACAGAAATTCAGTACGCATTTTTATCCCTTCAGGAAGCTTGTAATTGACGAGTCTTTGATTCTGTTCAAAGGAAGACTCTCTTTCAAGCAGTACATACCAAGTATGAAGTTGTTTGTGCTTTGTGATTGTTACAGTGGTCTGGTATTGGATATTATTGTGTACACTGGAAGTTATACATTGCAAAATACCAGGAAGTTATTGGGCATCTCAGGTGATGTGGTTCGAACTATGATAGAACCATACCTTGGTAAGGGGCATATATTATATACAGATAACTGGTACACAAGCCCCTCACTCAGTGATTTTTTGCGAGTGAACATGACAGATGTGTGTGGCACAGTGCGTGCAAATCGGAAACATATGCCCAGGTTTGACGCTGGCACTCGTAGAGGTGAGGTGCAGGCGTTTGCTGCCAATGACATCATGGCATTTTGGTGGCATGACAAACGAGATGTCACACTGTTGTCATCAATTCACCCTAATGAAATGGCAGACAGTGGCAGGCAGCATAGAGAGAGAAATGAACCCATTCTAAAACCTGCAGCTGTGATTGATTACACCTTCAACATGCGTTCAGTGGACAAATGTGACATGCAGATTGGGTTTGCTGATTGTGTTCGCAAGAGTTATAAGTGGTACATCAAACTGTTTTTCCATCTTCTGGACATTTCCATGCTCAATGCTTATAATATGTATAAGATGAGCACCAGAAACAAACCACAGTACGGCGAATTCTGTTTGTCTGTCATCAGACAAATAGTATTCAAGTACCAAGGAACAGCGCCTGCAATTGACCGCCCACCAAATTATCAACAACTACCTGCTCGTCTGAAGCATGGTGATCACTTCCTGGTAAAACTGCCTGCTACTGCTTTCAAGAAAAAGGCTCAGAAGAGGTGTTACGTCTGTGCACATACAAAAAAACGCACACAACAACGCAGAGACACTTGTTTTATGTGTGAGGAGTGCAAAACTCCACTGTGCATGACACCATGTTTCAAAGAGTTCCACAGGCTGCAGAACTTCTAGAAACATGTCCTGTGACTGTATATGTGTATATAAAATATAGAAAAATAGTAATAAACAACATTTCATATCGTTTGTTTGTGTAAATATTTTCTGTAAACAAAATAATGACAACAGTGTTTATGCCCTTATTGTGTAGTATTGAAAAATAAATAACTTACAAAATACTGATCATGTTGGCCTCAGAGGCCATAAAAGTTACTCAGAAAAAGAAAAATTGAAAAATAATTGAAAATAGTACATAAAAAAGTAAATAGAAAAATACCGGGTGACGGCAGTCGGCGATGTTACCATATGTTGTTCAATTTTGGCAAATTTCACGCCTCCATATCTCGGTAAGTATTGACGTTAAAATTTTTTTTGTTTAGCCTATAATGTTTAGAAAAAAAAACTCTATTTTTTCATAAGAAAAAATATTTTTTTTTTATTGAAATTTGGCCGACCCTGAGAACGAGTTTCGGAGAGGGCCTGTCGACCCTCAAAGGGTTAAGGACCCCAGTGGAAATAAGTTAGTCCTCGATGACTCACTGACTTTCTTGGGTTATCCTGGGTGGCTAACCCTCCAGGGTTAATTGTTTCTTGGTATTCTCGATAAGCCACACCAACAACAGTCTCCACATCTTTGAGTAGTACAGCTGACCATGGTGCAGCAGCAGCAGGAGCTGATGGTGCTACAGCAGCAGCAG